GGGGTGCGGGAGTGTGGCTACGCGAGGGAGCGGTGCGGAGGGGGGGGGGAGGCTGTGGATTTGCGGGGCCGCAGGCGCAAGCCAAACGCAGATGCAAGGCGAGTTGTTGCTTCCCAGAAGCGAGGGAGAGCCGCTTTCCCCTGCTCACCGGGAATCAGGGCGCGCAGGGTGGTCAATGCATCAAAAAATAACATTTAGTAGGTGGGTAATTTGCTTGCCTGGTGATTGGTTTTTGACAGCAAACATCCCCATTATCTTGTTTTGCGGACTTCTGGACATCCACAAAGTAACGGGCTGACTTCCATTTGCGATTCTGGGATGGCCTCTTGCACTTTAAAGGAACAATGTGTTGTGCAGAACCCGCTGCTTTGCAGCACGCGTAGGCCCCTGAGCTCTTACAAGTGAGAGCAAAATACATATAAAAAAAAAAACAACACATGGAGATGATGTGTGCTGACATTTGTTGTTCTTAATAGCTTTTTTCACAGCTTTTGTCTCGTGTGAATGTTTTAATTTCTTTGCTACCAGACTTATGTAGTACTATGTTAATTTTTTTCTGCTCAGGGATTGGATGTTTATTTTTATTTATTTTATATTTTTACTTTTCATCTACTTTCATTCTCTAAGTTTTTCTGGAGGGTTTTAGTACATCTTGGTCAAGACCAAAATTCTGTAGTTCTCCCAATGGTATAGGTTAACATTTTTATTGCGGGCTACAGCAGTGTGAAGTTCTTGACAGCTTCAGGTACAAAAGCTGCTTGACACCTCCAGACAACAGTTTATCACTTCTGACTACACACAGGCTCTTAAAAATCGTTGGGGGTTTTCTGGCAGTCAACCTTTGGGCAGTCCCCTTTAAGTTAAATACAATGTGTTTCTTTTGATTACATTCGAGGGATAACTGTAGCTGTGTTGCCAGAGACTTGCATTATCATTTTACCCTAGGCTGTTTCTCTGAGTACTTCCTGGGTTTGTTTGTTTGTTTTCTTTGTTGAAGGTCAGAACACTAATGTGCACCCTAGGTGAGGATGCAGTTTGAAAATGTCGTGGAAGCCCAAACTTAAAATCTTTTTAACTTTAAAAAGAAAATAGGAAGTTCTTAGCATAAAAGATCACTACTGTCTCTTGGTAACATGGTTTGCTTCTGGCTATATTCTTAGTTTGATCTGATTTTATTTAGTGGTTACTTGTGAGTTGCAACTCACCTTTTCTCACTCCATTTTGGAAATTTTTACCATGGTTTTCATTGTTCCCTTGCAAAAGGAAGGGATTTTTTAGATGTAATAATTTGAAACTAAGTTAATTTTGACTGTGTTTAGTTTCAGGATTGTTCATGAGAGCATTTTGTTGATGTTGATGTCTCTGTTGGTCCACAGAAATGTCATTTGATGTTTTGTATCTCCATTGTACACGTGGACTAGAAGTAATTGTATGTGTTGGCTCTTAAATCCATTCAAGATGTTTAGTGTTGTGACTTCCCTTGTGTTGGCTAAGAGGTTGTTACAGACCAGTCATAACAAATTAAAAGGTGATTAAACAAGGTCAGCATTTTCTCATCTGTTCTTCTTTGGAGTGTTGAGCACAGCTGTCTGCTGGTTTCTTGTAAATATAGCACAAGTCTGGAGTATAATAAAATTACACAAACTGTTTTTAAAACACTATTAATTGCTTCATAAACTGCATCTGTCCCTTGACAGTGCTTGATTGAAAAAGGGTGGGTATAATTCGTAAAATGAATATTAGAAGTGCTGCTTAGCACTTAAAAGACAGACTTTTGGAATGGTTGTGATAGTAGAGAACAGAAGCTGTTTTAATTTCTGTGATACTGTATCTTGAGCTTAAGGAATGCTTTATGGACCATGATTCCAAATTTGCTGTGTGAATGTGCTTTATAGTTGTTGGTGCATCTAGTCAGATACAGAGAATGTGTGAAGTAGCACTGAATAAAACAGATGCTCTACAGATACTAAAAAAAAAAAAGACAACAACTTTTATGGTTTGGATGATACCTGGCTTAAATTACTAAGTGGCTTGGAAGGTACATATTTCTGATTGCTGGAGAGTAAGGAATGTAAAGTATGTGTTAAAATGGAATATACTTATGATAAGCCATGAAGAGACTGTGTACTAGCAGGCCTAGATTGAGTGTAAAGCAACATGAGATGTTAACTTGTAGCACTGAATGCTGTGTGGCTTCTGTGGAAGTCTGAGAGCTGAAGCTTGTATATTTTCATGTGCAGGTGACAGAAGCCTGTGCGTGACAGGCTTATAAATGGCTGAGTACTGGCAGGAACCACTTGTAGTGTCAAAGTGTCTGAGCAAGACAATAATATGCTGGTTACTTGTGGAGAAAGCATCACTTCAAAATAGCTGGGTGCTGTTGTGTATCTGCTTCAGAATAGATCTGAAGCTGTAAGCACATAATTCGATTAATTTCTGTGGTTATTGGTGTGCTCGTTCTGACTTGTTTAATCAGGCTGGAATAGAGTATAGGTTATTAAAAAATGTGACAATGAAGTTTTTGTATTGGTAAATGTTAAATTTCTACCTCTGATACTTGACTATGTATGTGGAGGTAAATAGTGATTTCTTTTTTTTTTTTTCCTCTTTAATCAGATCACCCAGAAGACACAATGAGTGTTAAAGCTTTCAAACTCGTTTCTGCTGTTGAGCGGGAGATGTTAATGGGAGACAAAAATTACATCAACATCGAATGCATTGAGTGCTGCGGAAAGAACCTCTATATTGGAACCAACGACTGCTTTATCTATCACTTTCTGTTGGACGAAAAGATATCAACAGCTGGAAAAATAACTTTTGCTGCCACCAAACAACTGCATAAGTACCTGGGCTTGAAGAAGCCCGTGAATGAGTTGAAAGCAGCCTCTGCCCTCACCAGGCTTCTTGTGCTTTGCGACAACACAATAACACTAGTTAACATGATGAACTTGGAACCTGTCCCCACTGGCGCTAGAATCAAGGGAGCTGTGACGTTTGCATTAAATGAAAACCCTGTGAGTGGGGATCCTTTCTGTGTCGAAGTCTGCATTATCTCGGTGAAGCGGCGGACCATTCAAATGTTCATGGTGTTTGAAGACAGAGTCCAGATAGTGAAGGAAGTGTTTACTCCAGAGCAACCCTGTGCTGTGGCTGTAGATGGTTATTACTTATGTCTTGCACTTACTACACAGTATATAATTTTGAATTATAATACTGGCGTCTCCCAGGATCTGTTTCCTTATTGCAGTGATGAGAAACGACCAATTGTGAAAAGGATAGGCAGACAAGAGTTTCTGTTGGCTGGCCCCGGAGGCCTAGGTGAGACTAAGGATTGTAACTTTTTTTGCAATTTTTTTAACTTCTCTCTCTTATTTTCTCTCAATTTGGGAAGCAAAGCTTATCTAATTAAGTGTTGTGCACAGTAATGATAATTTTCTTCACAGCTATACTGAAATGTTGAGATACAATGGTAGATGGCAAATTTTTGGTACAAAGTATTATTAGAACTCTCCTGCTTTTTTTTAATGCACAGAAGTATGATTTTTGGTATTTTAATTGTGTCTATAGAAAGCTTCATTTCTGTATAGGCAGCTAACAGTACTAGTATCTTGCAGCCCAGAGTAAAAAAAATTGGTTAATACCAAGTGAAACTTCAGAGGCTGATAGCCTTTCTGTAGTGACTAGCTGGGTGGGGTTTGAGGAGCCTCATGTTGCTATAAAATTGTTAAATTGGTGTGGAAGAGTTCGTTTTTTCCTCAATTGCTATGCAGAGGAGTTCACACAAAGTCAGTTTTATAGATTGTAACAAATTCACAAATAGGTATGTTGTACTACAGTGTTAGTAAGAAATGTTTGTAAAGTGAACTATTTTTCAGCTTTATATTGCAGAAAATGATAGCTTGAGCATTGCAGAACCAAAGTTAGATCATGTGAGATAATGCTCTTGTCTAATACACAGATGATAGTGAGGACTGCTGCTGCTGTAATCTGTCTAAATCAACAATATGCTGCGAGGTCAGTAATCTTGAGCTTTTTTTGGAAAAGCTGCAGTATCCCAGAGCTGACAGACCACAGGCAGAATGCTTTCATGCTGTTTGCCATATGACTCTCCAGTTAGGAGCTGCGGTTTATGTATCTTCCCTGACACATTAGGAATAGCATAACACAAAGGTCACAACTATTTAGGCCCTAAATCAGGGATCTGAATGGGGTTTGCCTTTTTTATATAAATTCCAAAGAAAAGCAAGAGTGCAACAGTTGTTTATTGAAGTTTTGTCTTGTGACCAGAATGTGAGGTGTACATCAACTCTCCTGTTTTCTTGAGAGAAGTAGAGACTCATTAGAATATCAGTTTATGCAAATTAAAGATGTTCCAAGATGAACTTTTTTTTCAGATGTAGGACTTTCCTAAGTCGTCTTGGTTGCCTGCTTCTTATTAAAACGGTTAATTGCTTTAAAGTGGACATGTATTCGTGGACATTAATAATTTTAGTAGTGTTGTGAAAGTTAAAATTGGTGAATTGACTGTCTGAAAATATTCCCTTTTGACATGTTTCTAAGGAGATATCATTCTTACTTTAATCTTTATTTATGTTTTTAGGAATGTCAAACAACATTCTGTTGAAGTGGTTAATTTCTTTTTTGATTTAAGAAGAACAGTTATACTTTCAAAAGCATAATTGTACTTAGTTAGAAAGCAGAATTTTAGTCTGACTTTTGCTTTTATCTGGTGTCCTGGAAGAGTGCTGTACAGTAAGACCTTTACTTATAAAATCCAACATCCTTGTGTAAGTGGATTGTCCTGGGGTTAGAATATCAGGTATGCAGTATCTTAAGCAAGTGCACTTCTGCAGCTCTAAACATACTAGGAACTCCCCTTTTCCTCATAATAAAGACAAAGTCTATCTTGTACTAGCTCAGAAACTTTTCAAAGACTGTTTGCTATGGACTGTGTAGTTTTTCCTTGCCTAATTCAGCTTGGGGGTTTTTTTTTAATCATCTGTTCTCTATTTCCTCCTTACTGTTGTTTTGACTAGTATCATCCATCTTGCTGTTCTCCCTTGGTAAAATTCTTAGTGTCATTAACAGTTGTCCTTTTGAAGGTGTGAAGATGGTTGAGCACCTTTGTAATATATCAGCATTGTGTATCTTGGCATGTGAGGTAGACCTCTACTGTAAAGTAAATGGAATTGAAAAGATTTTATGTAAATCTTCAGTTTTAATTTTGGTTTGCTTTTGTACATTTTACTGGTTAAGATATTCATCTGGCTCTTGGTAGAGCATCTGTGCTAAATTCAACCTCTTTTACTGAGGTGGATGTATTCTGCATTAGTATATGTGTTTTTATAGTGTTTGAAGTCACATTTAGATTAATTTGCTTTTGAATTAAGACTGAAATTCAGAATGACAGAAAGCAACTGCTTAAAATGGTAATCATAAAGTAAAATATCTTTGAGTTTCTTGGGTACGTAACCTTTTTCCTTACCTGGACTCTTTGTATTTAAAACCAATTGTTAGAATTGTTCTTAGCTGATCCATAGACTTAGCCATTCGGTATGTTGTTGGCTCTGCTTGCAGTTAGTATATAGCTCATTTTTTCAAAGGGAGGAGGAACTTCATTCTTGATGCATCTTCATTCTGTCCAGTAATTAGTTCATTCAGAACTGAAAACCAATTCTTTCTGTTTATGTGTAAAACTGTGCTTACCATAATTCAGTTTTTCATTTCGTGAAGCTCTGGTTGCATGTTTCTAATCAGATTTCCTGCCATACAGAGGCTTTAAGTTTTTAAAGTATTACATTTAAAAAATTTTTTTTTTTTAGGTTTCAAATTTTAAAAGTTTCAGCAAAAAGTTCTTGCATATTGGCACAGGGCACACTTCCTAGCGCCAGCTGGAACAGCTGCCCCCAAACATCAGAGACCTCAACTCAGACCAAGCTCCCAAGGGAGGGTGCAGCTCTTGAGGTCTTGAGCTGAAGGGAGAGCCTGGTGCATCTTGCCGAGACCAGGGCAGGGGGAAATGTCCTTGCCTGCAGGAGATGTGTATTTGGTTGGGGACTTCTGTGGCCAAATAAAGGAAATGCAGGAGGAGGTCAGCAGAGTGTACGGCATCAGAGATGACAAAAAAGAATATGAGTCTTCTCCAGGACCCAGACAGGAGCCTGAACCCCAGCTGTACTGAGGGAAGGGCAGACTGAGTCTCTGCTTGTTCTGTGATGGCAAAGGCTGGAAACTTGTGACTTCTCCTAAAAGGAAGAACTCTCCTCTGCCTGCAGATCTGCATTTATACACTATGTTCAGTGCTCAGCAGTAGCAGATGAGAAGCAGGAAGCTCTGTCCAACAAATCATCTGAGCTTGCACAATGCAGTACCACCAGGAGAAATTAGCAAGTAATAGTAATGGGAGAGTCCCTCGTGTTGGAGATGGAGGTTTTCTTATCAGTCCTGCTGGTGAGGAAGGACAGCTTGAGGAGGAGTGGGTGGATCATGCAGGTCACCAGCTGATTGCACAGCTTGTGGTCATGAGGGATTTGGCTTTTATGACCATGTATCCCTATTTAAGGAAGAGAATGGGATCCACTAGGCCAAGTGAGGCAAAGGCATTTTTGACAACAAGCTGACCAGTCTGGTAAGGAGGCTGGATTTAAACTAGGAGTGGTGGTGGTAGGCTGAGTTGGCAAACAAAGAGTGTGGGATTGTGTGGATGAGAGACTTTGTCATCAACAAGCAGGACAGAAGAAACCCTGCTTTGGGCATATGCACACAAAGCAGTGTGTACAAAACAACCTGATGGTGAAAGCTCCCTCACTTTTTATGCAAAATCAGCTGAGTTGGGGGTTACCTGTTACATGAGAGCAGCAGGAAGCTGTGGTGTTGTGCCTTGGGACTAGAGGAGGAGGCGGCAGCTGAGAGTTTATGGATTAGGGTTGGAGGACAGACTAACACAGGTGACACTGTGATGAGTGTCTGCTACAGACCACCTCATCAAGAAGAAGACGTGGGTAAGGCCTTCTTCAGATAGCAGGAAGAAACCTACATTTGTAGGCCCTGGTTCTTAGGAGGCACCTGAACTACTCCAGTACCTGCTGGAGTGGCAGCACAGCAGGGCACAAGCAGTCCAGGAGCTTTCTGGAGTGCGTTGGTGGTGACTGAGGAACTGATGAGGGGATGTGCTGTGTTGAACTTGGCTAGGCATGTGAAGGTCAGGGGAGCAGCCTTGCTACAGCGTCCATGCAATGTTGAAGCTCAGGATCCTGAGAGAAGGGAACAAGGCAGAAAGACTACAAGCCTGGACTTCAGGACAGCAGACTTTGGTTTGTTCAGGGACTTGCTTAAAAGAATCCCATGGGATATCCTGGAGAGAAGGACTGCTTCCTCCAAGTTCAAGAATGTCCATCCTAGTGAGCAGGAAAACAAGCAAAGGTGGCGGGAGACCTGCATTAATGAAGAAGCAGCTCTTGACAAAACTCAAATAAAAGGAAGCAAACAAGGTGAAACAAGGGACGAGTGGCCTGCCAGCAATATAGAGACACTGTGCAAGCATGTGGGATGGGGTTAGGGAGGCCAAAGTCCATCTGGTATTGAATCTGGTGAGCACTATGAAGGGCAACAAAAAGAGCTTCTACAAGCATATCAGCAGCAAAGGAAGGTCAAGGAAAATGGATGCCCACTGCTGAATGGGCAAGGGACTGCCAAAGGACATGGGAAAGCCTGAGGTGCTTAATGCCTTTACTTTGACTGTCGCTGGTATGACCTACCTTCAAGAATCCTCAGCCTCTAGCACCAGTGGGAAAACAAAAACCTGTGCTCTGTAGAGAAGCATCAGGTTATGGCACACTCAAATAAACTGGACAGGCAAATCCCTGGGACCTGATGGGATGCACCCATGATGCTTGAGTATGGTGATTGGTTGGCCATTCTTGATTATCTTTGAAAGGTCACGATGATTGGGGGATGTTCCTCAGAACTGGAAGAAAGCATATGTCTTCACTTCTGTCTTAGGTGAGCAAGAGAGAGGACACAGGGAGCTGCAGACAGGCCAGCCTTACCTCAGTCCCCAGAAAGACGATGGAGAAAAATCCTCTTGGAGCTGTTTCCAAATATACAAAGGACAAGAAAGTGATTTGGTGTAATCAACGTGATTTACAAAAGGGAAATTGCCTGACCAGCCTGATAACCTTGTATGATTAGATACATAGATCGGTAGATGGAGAGCAGTGATGTTGTGAACTTAAGCAAGGCTTTTGATCTCCCATAACAATTTTGTAACAAACAGATGAAGACTACACCAGAGAAACAGTGAGGTGGATTAAACGCCTGGCTCAGAGTTTTGTAGTCAGCAGCACAAAGTCCATCTGAAGGCCGGTCACTAGTCATGTACCCCAGGGGACTGATAGTGAGATCAGTACTAACATCTTCATTAACAACAGGGACAGTGGGTCAGAGTACACGTTCAGCAAGTTTGCAGAAGATACAAAAGTAGGAGATGTGGCTGATATGCCAGGGGGTTGTGTTGCCATTTAGAGGGACTTTGACAGGCTGGAGAAATGGGCTGACAGGAACCTCGTGAAGTTCAGCGAAAGGCAATGTGAAGTCCTGCACCTAAGGAGGGAAAGTTCCATGCACCAGTACAGACTGGGGGCTAGTCAGCTGGAAAGCAGCATTGCAGAGGGGGAAAGTGACCATGAGCCAATGATGTGCCCTTGTGGCAAAGAAGCCCAACAGCCTACTGGGCTGCGTTAGGAAAAGTGTTGCCAGCAGGTTGAGAGGCAGTTCTTCCTCTCAGTCCTCGTGAGACCACGTATGGAGCACTGGGTCCAGTTCAGGGCTCCCTGAAATGACATGGGCATACTGGAGTAAATCCGCTGAAGGACCAGAAAGATGACTAAGTGATTGTAGCATCTCATGTGGAGAGGCTGAGAAAGCTGGGTCTGACGAAGAAAAGGCTTCCAGACATCTTATCAACATGGGGGCAGGTAGGGGTGATTAAAGAAGGCTGAGCCAGGCTGCTCAGTGGTATTGTATCCAGTGAAAGAATGAGAAGCAGTCAGTACAAACTAAAATACAGGAAGTTCTACCTAAATGTAAGGAAAAAGTGTCCTCATTGTGATGCTGGTCAAACCAGGAAACAGGTCTTGGAGAGGATGTGGGGTCTCTGTTCTTGGGAGATACTCAAAACCTGACTGGGCGAGGTCTTGAGCATCCTGTTCTCATTGACTCTGATTTGAGCAGGGAGGTTGGACTAGACAGCGTCCAGAGATCCCTTTGTGCTTCAACTATTCCATTACTTTAAGGAGTAAAAAATACAAATTTTAAATACCTAATTTTAGTTTATTGCTTTTGCTTTTCCAGAATAAGCTGTTCTCAGTGGTGCATGTATAGTGGTTGAGTTAGACTCCAAATGGAGTTGGAGAGCTGAGCCTTATAACAAGCACGCAGGTACTGAGCAGAATGATTCATAGAAGGTTATGCAGTGCCTTTTCTCATAGCTGATGACACTGCATAAAGCAGGGTAATCGACAGTAACCAGCATGTTCCCTTCTTGTTTTCAACCATTTGTAGTGTTCCTGATGCTGTCAACTTTTATGATAACTGAAAGTTTACATATTCCTTTTTAAAAAAGTAATAATAATAAAGAAGTTCTCTTTCGGTTTTTACAGATACTTTCACTGAGAAGCTTTTTGTTTTGAAACAAACGAGTAAACAAAATGTACAGTCTGTTGCACAAAGTCCTGAGTAACCTGGCCTAAGTTGGTCCCACTTTGAGTGTGGGGGGCTGGACTGGATGTCCTTCAGAAACCCCTTCTGACTTCAGTTATTCTATCATCCTATAAATTTCTGGTTCTCTTAGTGCTGAAAACAATGTAGCTGTGTTTTGGGTAGCTCTTGTAACGTTTACATAGCGTATGTATTTTTAATGCGGAATTGATTAGTAGCTTCATCTCGGTTTCATCAAATGCATTCCTGTACTATAAAAAGGCCGTGGTTTCTGACTGTAGTTGTCATGTTTGTTGTTATCCTTGAGTGAGAGCTGGATGAAGGCACAAAATGCATCGTTCTACCACAGAAGCCTTAGCCATTGAGGGCTAAGGGATGTAGAGAGACATTGGCTTGGAAAAGTACTATGCTCTGCATACCCTTTCACTTCCATAAAGGATTTTTTTTAAATTACCTAAAAAAGAGCTCTGTTTAAAAAAGAAAAAAGTTTTTAAAATCATGTTTTTGGAGTATTTTTTCGAGAATGTCAGAGAAGTAGAAAATTCTAAAAATTAATGGTTCAAATATAGTTAGCCCTGAGTTTAACTACTGGTTAGTATGTATGTAACTTGAGTTTTCTCCCACTTTTTGGAATGGTATTATAGCACAGAGTAAGGACTGGAAGGCATTAAAAATGGATAGTGCAGTTTGCCTGGCATAAAATTCTACTTCTGATCTGTAATAGTATCAAGATCTACAGAGGAAATTGGGAATTATATATTAAGGAAAAAAGAAGTATTTTCTGTGAGGCGCGCTGATCATTATAGTGAAAAAGCAAATAGCATTACTTGCTAGTAGTTGGATGTGAAATTTTATTTTTGTGTTGCACTCTTAGTCAAAGGAAAGGGCTGATCATTTCAAAGCTGCTATAAAGGATCCCGAAGCTTAGTCACTGCACTGTGATTCCATAAAAATCTACAACCTTACATTTTCCTCCCCCCTCCCTGCCCAGATAGTCCTCCTACCCAGCTACCCTTACCTCTGTTTGAAAGAGATTTTGTAAATTGAAGGACATAATCTTTTAGTCTCCTCTGTCCTGTAGAGCTCAGACTTACTCTGCCAGCTGTCAAGTGGCTCATGCTTGCTGAAGAACAATTTTCATGGGCATATCTTTTTAATAACATGAGAATACTGGCTTTAAGGGGTATGCATTCATATTTAGAACAGAAGTTTACACTGTGCTTCAGCATGGCTCAGCTGGCAAAGGGTTACTGAACTAGGTCTGAAAGCTTTGGAGATTTTCTTCAATTTATGTCTCAGGAAGAACTGAGGAATACCAAGCAGCATAAATAGAACCAGTGGTGCGTGGTCCAAAAGAAAGTCAAACTTCCATTAAGCTGGGAGACGGAAGGAGGGCGGAATAGATGGGAGGAAAATTAGTGGCAAAGACAGACACAAATTAAGTGAAGATTTAATATGGTTATTTTGAAGATAGCATAGGAGGTAGCATCAGGTTATTAAAGAAGTCTTTACTCTGCTTGGCTTTTGAGAAAATATGCTTTATATGCAACCTCTGCATTTTTTTCACATGATTGAAAACTCAGATGCCTCACAGGAAGTGACTTGTCCCAAGGAGCCGGACTCTCATTCTGCAAAAATTTTGCTGTAGCGAAAGTGAAGAAGTAACTGTCTGTCAACCAAAATGCTCTTCACACATTTGACACTACAAGGAACTAATATGCCTGCATTGCCAGATAGGTCGGACAGTGCAGGTCTGCAACTCGCCTTAAGGCAGTACAGCTTGAATGCTGGATCTCACTAAATATTTGTGTTTTGAAATGGATTCAAACAACATGGCATAATTTTTACTGAAAAAATCTGAAACTTACGAAACTTGAATAATTCTTTGTAGTTTTTTTTTCAGCGTTCCTCTCTTTTCAGTCTTTGGTGTTGTCTGTTTCTGTGGTGAAGGAGAAGGAAAAAAATTTTGAACTGAATTAACCAACAGGTCTGTAAGGTCCGGGGAGGTATGATGTGCTGTTGTCATGCTGCCTGACACTGCATCTGTTCTTTATTTCTGTACCTTGGTACCCATGCTTCATATTGGGAAAACTAAACAGTCTTCAACCAGCACGACCTTCAGGCTTTGTTTTTTCCCTTTTGTAGGCATGTTTGCAACTGTAGACGGCATTTCGCAGCATGCCCCTGTGCACTGGTCAGAGAACGTGGTTGGAGCAGCTTTGTGCTTTCCTTACGTGGTTGCTCTCGATGATGAGTTCATTACAGTGCACAGCATGCTGGACCAGCAGCAAAAGCAAACCCTGCCTTTTAAAGAAGGTCACATTCTACAGGACTTTGAAGGTATTAGAAAGGATGCTTTTTGTATCAGTAATTCTGGAACAACTGCCACTGGTCACAGTCACTTCAGTGTGTTTTTTTAAACAAAATATCTATCAAGCACATTAACTGTTGAAACTTCTATTGCAAGTGCTTTCCTGAATAGATTCCTGCAGACTATCCTAGGAGAACTTTAGTCATCCAAAACTCCCTACTTCTAACAAAATGTATGCTCATTAAATGTGCTCTAATTGTCAAGTTAATTGTTGGGTAGGAGCCTGTGGGGTCAGAGCTTTTTCTTGTAACTTGATTATTTCTTTCGTAGCAGCAGTGTTAATTTATTGCTGCAACTCGGTAATTGTGAGCTACAGGTATTTGTCCATTGGCTGTCCTGATGAAGTTCTAGCATCTTAAAATTGTGTCAGAGGTTTAAGAGAGGATATTTCATAAAGAATTATTCAACAAAAAATACAAAAAATACAAAAAAAAAACCCCAAAAATTCTTTTGATTTATTCTTGAGTTCTAAGTGTGGAATACATTACGTTGCTGTTTGTTTCCCAGGAGAGCTACAAAGTCTAGCACTGTGAACTGTATGTTACTTGCTACCTCTGATGTACAGCTCAGTTTTCTAATGTAAGCCTGTGGAAATATCTGGCAGTTAGAAGTTCATATTCTCTGGAAACTGGGCAATAGTTTCAGTGGTGGCCTTTACAGCTTAGTTCATCATGAGAGATTATAGCCAGTTTCGTTTACTCAGAGTGGAACAGAATTGCTGTAAATAAATTTACTGTTATTTCTGCATATCTGAGGTGCAATTTACAGGTAAACTATCCTATCTAGTGACTATGTTAACAACAAAGATGAGCTTTAGAACTTTAACACCGTTTGGGTTCTTGTGTCTTAAACAGTAAATCTTAAAGCTTATTTCTGAAATGTGTTTTTTTTGTAGAGAATGTGAAGTGAATATGTCTTATTTGTTCTGTACAGGAAAGGTGATTGTTGCTACCAATAAGGGTGTGTATATCTTGGTGCCGCTGCCTTTGGAAAAACAGATTCAGGACCTTCTGGCTAGCCACAGAGTGGAAGAAGCCCTTCTTCTTGCAAAAGGAGCTCGAAGGAATATTCCAAAAGAGAAATTTCAGGTCTGTTCTTCCTTTAATTTTGATGCAAATATAAATTTCACAGTGGGTCTGTGTATACCAATGGTCAAGTGACTAGGGAAGCGGGGGGGAGAAATTTACACTGAAGAGAAATTTAATATCTTGTATGGTTTCATCCTGAGGAAATAGACATGCTGCCAAATTGGCTTCTGCTTGTAAAGGCTATGACATTGGCAGTGTCAAATGCTGTTGTTCTGCTGGTTTTTTTGAATTTTTTTTTCAAGTGTGTGACTTGAAAAAATGTAAACCAAAACACAACCGAAAAACTAGTGATAGAAAATACACTGCAATGCTTCCTTAGTACTAGTTATTATTTCCTATTGCTGTTTAAAAAAGTATACTTTATTTCAAATCAGAATTTTTAGGTTTTACTTGTTTTATCGCAGATTCTTACTGTATCCTAAACTCCATAGTAGTACAAATTCAAAGTTAAGTGATGAGAAATCTAAAGCAAATACATTCTACTTCCAAACTCATACAAGTAGTAATTGTACTAGTGTGTAACTGAATATTTAAGATCTTTGTGTGGCAAAGTGTCTTAGTAACTCTTTGATTAGATTGTTGATTAGAGATTTGTACTCATATCCTTCTACCTCTGGTTTATATTACGATACATATTCTACTGTGTTTGTTCCTATTTGTCATTTAGAGACTGAAACTTGGAAAAAGTAGCATGAAATCTCTACTCACCAAGTAGGTGAATGGATATTTGATTTGGTTTCTTTCCTTTTGTAAAAACAAAATTTGATCTGTAACCTGCAGAAAAGCTGGTTTGGTTGTTTTAATATACTTTGGAGCATTTTGTTGCCATTAAAATAGTATCTGTTGCATGACTTCTGATTTGTTTAGGAAGATGTGAAGTTTGGAACATGACTGTGGAAATACGGAGTTGCAGTGGTCCAAAATTACTCAGTCTGTCAGGGTTTTTACTAATTTTTTTTTATTGTTTTCAAGAAGTTTCAAATTCCTTGTCATTTAAATTTTGGTCAAGGCCCTGGAGAAGTGGCATTAAAGTAAATGAAATTTGTATCAGCTTTCATTTTGATCCGTAACTCCTCAGTTGAATGAACAGCTGGGAGGCTGCTGGAAGTAAAAGGTTTCCATCCTTTTGCTAAGGTAAAACTATCTGGAAGTGCTTAAGCTGATAAGTATTTAGGCAAATATGGAGTTCGGTTCCCAGCATGTTTTGCTTTGCACCTTCATTTCCAACTTTTCCTTTGCAATCTATTCAAAGCAGCAAACTAAAATCCTGCTGTGAGGACCGGGTGCGTGATCTAATCAATGTATTCTGTGTATGATGACCTCTAGTTCTCCAATTATTACTTTCCAATTAATGTGGATTTAGCATGGGAGATGTCTGTCTGTGCTTTGCCACAGTATGAACTGCAATTCATTATCTAAAATACCTGAGGTAGAATCTCATTCCTCCTAAGTTTTCTTGCATTTAGGATTTTTCTGTCTTTAGGATAAGTTACTTTCTGTTCACGTGTATCTTATGTGCACAATGTCTGTCTTCCTGAATTACTGTTTCCAAGAATATTCTAAGTTCTTTCAAACTTAACGTGCTTTTAAGGGTGTTCAGTTACTCTGAGGCAATGCTGCAGCTGAAGAACAGAAAATGTATTACTTGTAAGCAAAATAGATTATTCTAGTTCTGGGCTGTATTTGCAAGCTGATATTAACCAGCTTAAATTGATGGAGTCTCCAAGTGACTCGTATTAAAATAACTCAATCTGGCTTAGTTGTTGAGACATCAGTCCAATTTTTCAGAGCTTATCTGTAGTTGGAAATACAACATGTTGAGCTGGCTTTCTAATGTGCCTCTGATACTTAATGCTGTCATTACAAGTTTGTTACAAGCACATCAGACTTTCTTTTACTGTAGGCTCACATAATGTAAATCTGATGGAGTTCAACCAAATTACATGCCTTACATGCCTTGCGATATTTCTTTGGCTTACTTCAACTGGTCACATAGCCACTCCTTTCTAACTCCTGTCTAAGAGATATCTTTAGATAATAGATATTAGACAGATAATAGGTATCTTCTAATAGATATCTTCGGATACCTGTTTTGCAAGCTTTACTGATTTCTGAGTAGCTGACACTTTCAAGGCCTTATTTTACCATTTTATATGAGCAGAGGCAGGAATACAGAGGTTTGGCATTAACGCACTTGATCCAGCCACTATAATTTATCCATACAGAAGTGTGATAGTGATTGTCTGGTACATGTAGCATAGTGCCTCCTTTTTCCACATGCTGCTTTAATTTCTGCAGTTTGCAATGGCTGTTGCTATCTTACCTGTGACTTGAACTCAGTCATGGTTCCTACATGGTTGTCCTACAATGGTAGGACAGTTCTTGAGGACATGTTTTTTTTTTCCTCTGGTTCAATACTGCATTGTCATTGCATGCATACACAGATGCATGCTCTCTCTATATCAGCAGTATTGTATCAGCATGAATCTCTCTCAATATATATGCTGCTAATGCAGAGGGATAGTGAGATTGAAACACTGTACTGTACTCTCAGAATTATTTGTACAGCCAGCATTTAGTTACTGGAAAGAAGCAGGTCATGCATTAGTAGCTCTAACCTGTTATTTAGCTCATGGTCCCTGCAGACTGAAAATGTCTCTGTGCCATATTAGGTGAAAAATCCTTGGTCTTTGAGCAATGAGAATTGCTGCTAGGCAATAAAAGCTAAACAAAAGTGTTGCTAGGAGATGGCTTTGCTGGATATCATTTTTGGTAGAAGAATACAAAGGCCTTTCTACCATGCTACCATGAAATGACTGAATACTACTTATTAATTTTTCAGGACAGCTGAAGTTTGCAGAAATCATGGTTGATGGTAGTGAAGACCTTGATTAGATTGACACACATCTTGCATAGGTACCTCTCTTTTTTCTTTTTTTCTTCTCATTTCTTTTTAGTTTCAAAGAACATACTAACTGCACCCAAACCTGACCAAAAGCTGAATTGACTTTCTAGAAGAAATCTTTTTGGCAATCTAGTTGGTAATTCTGACCATTTTAGAAAGGGTTTTTCTAGCACTTGAGAGAATAAAGGCTTCATTATAGCTATTGCAGCTTCAGCAGTCATCATTCTGTTTTCTGTCACTTTTTCAGGTATGAATTAATACAAATCTTATTTTGTGTTTTTTAGAGCTAGGTTTTTTATGTCAATTCAGTCAACAATATAGAATTTGTCTAAAGCACAAGTCCTATGATGGCTCTTCAGAAATGATAAGGGAATAAACAATGGGTTGAATTTTGACTGAGTGTAACTTAGTACCTTTTTAAAAGAAGACTATTGTGGTATTCTGGCAAACAGGTCTGGAAGAAATCAAGATGTTTTTTTCTATCATAAGCAAAAGTTAACAGTATGATTATTTGGCATATAGATCTAGCCTTCTTTTAAAACCCTGTGAGAAAGAGAGAATATTTAATTTTCCACAGTCAGTCTGGTCTTTTGTTTCCGTAATCTTTACCACGGAACATCTTAATGTCTAGTGTTTATCTTGTCAGCTAAAAATCAACCTGAATACTCCCTATGCCATCACTGCATCTTGAAAGTATCTGTCTGTAGACATTCTACAGCTTTTTTGTTTATGACTTTAAGGGACAAGTGAAGATATGTCAGCAGTTAAATGAAAGAAAATACCACTTAATCAGTTCAAATTTAAAATTGATTCCTTTGGCCTATGCTTACATTATCAACAAGCTGTTTTCACTTTCTTGTTGAAAACGTGGCTGGACAGACTAAGCTCTACAATTTAAGCAGTATTTTCAGTGTCCTAGATCAATTAAAACTTAATTCCAATATCCTGATTCACTCAGTATGTAAATATTAATGGTCACTCCATTACAAAGATTGAAAAGAGACTTTAAAAAAAAAAAAATAGCCCAAGTCCTACTTTTGATACTAGTTTCTCTAGCAGGGTGAGAAATACTTCTCCTTCAACTCTCCCTGGAAAGTCTGAGGCCAGACTTTGAGGCTTTTCTGGTGCTACAAGATGCATATAGTTGCAGATGGAAATCCTTTACCAGCATCCTTAAGGGTGTGACCAGATGGATATTCATCAGTTCACAGACTAATGTTTATTGATGTAATGACACAGTCATAAATCCAAAATATTTTGCATCTTTTGTAAATTAATCAGCGGTGATAGTTTTACTTTATTACTGTAATTAAATTCCTTTTAAGCTTTAGTTAACTGTATTTTGAGTTAGTACATTTGGACGTAAAGCGTAGTAACATTAATTAACATAAAGATGTGAAGTAGTATTGTTCTTTTATTTTCATATTGTTACGTTTGTCTGAAAAAGTGTGATAGATAAAATTTCCCTCTGTTTCCCCTTCTCTACCCCACACTGGGGAGGCAAGGAAAGTCCCACAACCTTACAAATCAATAGGTTTTAATGGCTTTTTTATTATTAAAATTAACTGTTTCCTGAAGATAATCCATTAGTAAAGCAGGCACAGGCTAAATGGACTTAAACCAAGCTTTTCTCTTGGTAAGTCCAGTCTTTAATCAAGGTGAAAAATCACGAATTAGAATATCAGTCTACCCTGCTTGAGGCCTGACACTCTCTAGCAGTTCCTGCCTGGAAGACGTTGCTGAATGTATTGCAGTTTCTCTGGTTATTTTCGTTGAAAATGGGAGTCTGTTATTAAGAACCACATTCGTGTATGCTGGTAAACATGACAAAGCTGTATATTGATGGGAAAGTTTAAGGTGAAAGACAGGGCATGTGGAAGTAGCTAGGTACATTTGCAAAACAGCAGTGTTGTCACGAATGGTGGATGCTTTGCGGACCACAGTTTAGGTTCCACCTTTTAATAATTCTCTTTTGCTGTTGCAAATAGGCTGGGCACGAAGGTTTCATTTAATCTGGTGGTAGCTTACTGATCATTAAGATTAAATCAGTCCTAGCATTTAAAGTAGTTTAGTGTTCTTTTTCTAGTGAATTCCTTATAAACCTTCTTCTGTCTAGGCATGACCTTAACAGTGAAACTTCATAACACACAACTTTTCGTATGGTTTACTTGTGCTCCTCTCTTTAATTATATTTTTGTGTGCATTCCATAATGTATTGGATATTGGATAAGATGAACTGTGTTGGAAGTATTTTTATTTACAAAAAAAACCCAATAAAACCACCAAAAACAACAAAACCCCAAATTGGCAGAAAGTCAGAAATATGGTCATCAGCTGGGGATGAGACCATGAGAATGACCAGCAAGGTTGCTGCAGAAGTGAGGTGAGACAGGGGGAAAGTTGGCTGTGTGTGGTCCAGTGGGACCACCCTTGAGTTTAAATCTGGTTTTGTGCTTGCTGAATCATAGGAAACTTCAAGTATAACCATTGGCTTTTACATTTGCGAATACCACGAGCAAAAACTTGAGGCAAGTCAGACTGATGTCAGATAAGTCATTATTTGAATAAGAACACTTAAACTTGCTATTTGTTGACTTTGCTTTTAATAAGTACTCGTGAACAGTGTTGGGTTCGCACACTTGTGCAAGAAACTGAGTCTGGGCAGCAGATTCAGCATATTCAGATGCATACAATTTAAAATGTAGAGGATCAAGGCTTTACTTTGCATGTAACTTGACAAGTCTGATTGAAGATCATGTGTTCAGTGTTTTTGGCAGGTAGTTCTTGCAGTAGTGACTAACACTGTGTAAATAACTCCTTACAAATATAATAAACCTTTTTTCCCCCTTTCTTTTTCATAGGTGATGTACAAACGAATCCTGCAGCAAGCAGGTTTTATACAGTTTGCACAGCTTCAGTTCCTTGAAGCAAAAGAACTCTTCAGGTAATTGTGTGACAAAAAATTTATTAATTTATCTTCTTTAAATAAGAAGTTAATGTTCCTGGTTTTAAAAACTTAGTCTCTCGAGTGTTTTTTGATGCAGATGTGAGTTCACTGTGATAAAATGGTTGTGTTGGGGGTAAAAACAGAGTAACATAGAAACAACTTTATAACTGAAGAGTTAATGCAACTGATTTTTTTGGTGTGCTAACATCATACAGTAGTGTTAAGGCTGTAATCCTGTAATCTGAGTGTTGTAATTGTGGAGATTTTTTTACTTTGTGCCCATGAAGGTCAAGGCTTTATTATTGAGCCTGTGCTGTGATTTACAGCATGGATATTGCTTGGTTCTTTTTTCTTTTTTTTTTTTTTTTTTTGAGCCTGTGCTGTGATTTACAGCATGGATATTGCTTGGTTCTTTTTTCTTTTTTTTTTTGTTACAATTTAAATATTAGTTACAATTTATATATTGACACAACTGTACTATTTTTTTTGAGGATGCTGATACTGAATTTGTTCTAACACCTGTTTTGCTAGTCGTTTTCCAGAAAACAGATCATTTGTTCCTGAAGTCTGTACTAACCTTCATAATTTAGCTGTTCCAGCAGTCACTTGTTTACAAATTGACTTTGGTACTCCACCTTCATTCAAAAAATGCTGCTTGTTATCTTTTTATTTTACCTGATAATTTCATTTCTGCCAGCCATGCCTCATTCTGTGATGGGGTGCTGTCCAGAGTTAGTGTAATCCATGCTGACCACATAAAATAACTCTCCTTGTTACCTGCTGAAATTCATTTTAAATCAGTTTGCAGTCTATGGAATAGGATTAAGGTTAGACAATTTGCTGTATATTGTAGGTGTGTACAGTACAGGAAGAAAGTTGTCCTTGGCTTTCTGGAAAGGTGTCAGGGAAGGTAAAGCTTTGGGAAATGTTACTGCTGTTGAGGAACTTATCCCATTTTGCCTGTTGCTTAACAGGATAATGGTAGACACTGAGCTTGAACAGGCAGTGTACACTGAGTAAAGATTAGGGAATGACAGGAAAGGCAAAAATATAATATAGTCACAACATATAATCACAATTTGTTTTGGCCACAAGCACTTTCTGTATCACCTTGTAATTTTTGGCATTAGCAAGCAACTTGCAATCTTCTTCCTCCCTGTAATGTTCCAAACGGTAGACTGAATCGCTGGTGCGTTGTGTATCTGAAGTAGAAGTACGAGCTGGACATAGTTAGGAATCCTTTACAAAGTTCCCACAATTCCATATGGCTTTCCAATGAACTTTTTTCATGATTTTTTTTTTTTTTTTTTTTTTTTTTTTTTTTTTTTTTTTTTTTTTTTTTTTTTTTTTTTTTTTTTTTTTTTTTTTTTTTTTTTTTTTTTTTTTTTTTTTTTTTTTTTTTTTTTTGTTGTCAGTGTGGCCAGCTTTGGTAAAATAGTTTGTTGAGGTTGTACTGTCTGTGGAAGTGTGTTCATTGCCTGGGTGTGATTAGGTGGCCAGAGCTGTGTAGCTCTGCAGCTGCCTTGACTATGGCTGACGCTTTAACTTTTTTTTCCTATTACTTTATTCCACCCTGCCTGGCAATAATTCGCAATGGGGTTTAATCTGGGTGCCCCACCTTGCTGGTAGGGGCCCGGGGATCTTTTAAAGGCAGTGAGAAGTGGGAAATGCATCTCCTACAGGGAGCTCCAGCACCTGTGGAAGGAGCCAAGATCCAGTTATGCAGCCTCCATCCAGCTGGCAGTCCATCTGACAAATGAGCTTTAACAAACAGGATTGTGGGGAGCTCCTCCGTAGAAAGAAACATGCCTCATGAGAAAACATGCTGTCCAGGCGTGAATTTGGTGCTGAGTCGGCATCTCAGGGTGTTCCCTTGCTTTAAAAGCTGCAACAAAGCAGAACAACTGTCCATGAATTGCTGAATTCTGCTGCGGGGGAGAAAGCAAAGTTTTGTGTGCTTTTCTTCTGGCCAGCCATACATGAGCTATGCAGACTATTTTGGTGACTCTGAAAAACTTCTGATGGAATTGGGTTCCCTTGTTTTCAGCCCTGGTGAACACACCCAGTTTGAGTAATACCTGGTTATGCCCTGATACACACTCAAACAACTTGTTCATTTTAGACCTGCTGATGCTCAGAGTAGAAACGGGAAAGATAAAGGCAATCTATGCAAACACTTCCTCCCATCTCCATGTGTTGCTCTGCAGGTGTTTCAAGCTAGTGTTAAAAGTAACTTCAGTCTTAAAATACCAAAGGGAAACTTGGTACTTATGTGAGAAAAAATGGATGTAGCAGTGAAACAGTGGCAGCAGTACCTCCAAGAACTTCGTGTGATGTGGACCTATTTCTGGCTAAATATGAAGTGAGATTGTCTCACTCCTCAGAAAATATCTGTCAGTTACAGGCTAGCAGGGGAAATGATTATATTGAACTAAAGGTCTTGTTTACTTGCATCAATAATCTTCTTGCATAACCTTGTCAAGATATGGTTATATCATATGCTTAACTTCATAGTTCTTAAATATGGAAACTTTTAAGAGGAATACTTTGCTGCTAAGCTCCTTTTGGTTACGCTGATACTTCTGAGTACTGAAGAAGATTGACAAAAAGGAAAGAAGTGGGTGCTTTATTGAAACTCAAATAGTTCAACAAAGGGAGGAGAACTTTCTTCAGCTGGATCCGTTAACCTTAAACTGGGTGAACTGTCACAGTGGGGCTTCTTTGATCTGACAAATTCTGTTAGAAGCAATAACAGCATTGTGATTGTGTTATATAGTTGTGATTTATATATTTTTGCTATTTCATATTGCTGTCATTGGAGGCTGGCATGCTGTTAGACCAAACAGCTGTGTTTAGCAGGCCATTTGCTGAATTCTAGATGTCTTGCCGAGATATCGGTAGCTGTCACAGTGAAACCATTTCTCTCCAGTGTGTTTGGTTATGTCCTTTCACTGGTTAGATGTTGCTTACAATCTGACACACCAGATACTGGAACTTTCTAAACCTTGTTGCTCTTCTTAAATCAAATATTAACTCTTTTTTACAGTGTTGTCTCAGCTGAGGAAGGCTAGAGAGAGAGATTTATAGCTATAGTCTCTCCTACACTGGGAAGGTTAAAAAATAGCTGGTACTTATACCTGGAGACATAAGAAGTAGGACTCAGTGTGAGACTTGCATCTTAAATGTGATTCAAGAGTATAAGCTTCTATTACAGCCAGCGGGATCTAGGCAAAACAGCTAAATCATGTAGGCTTCTTTGACATCTCAGATATCTGTAAATTTAAGGGTCTGAATTTAGACCTAAGTTTCCTGAAAACTTGTGGGTTCTGCCAGTTGCATTGTTTGTATATATGAAGCCCGAGAAGACCTAATGCAGAATTACTCAAAGGGAAGTTGCGTTTTAACATTGACAGCTTGACTTGTCTGAAGCTTAAGAGCCTGCTTTCTACTTTGTGGTGAGTTGCTAGCTATATTTTGCTAAACCTGAGATGCTGCAAGCTGAAGAATCAAATGTGTTTTTCAAGAGAGATGAGGTCCTTTGTAGCTTCTCCTAAACCGTTTCCTCCAAACGTGGTGCAAAGAGCCACAAGACATCCACAGATCCCAGGAGCTGTAAGCCTTGAGATGAATGTTAACTATTCATGCAGGTGGGGTCTTTTTTCAGTATTTGGTATTTTTCTGGAGTAGTTTGTTCTGGATGTGCTTTTAAGGAGGTTGCTTAATTGCTGATTACCGTTGCTGTGAGGAGAGCAAAACCACACAACATGAGCTTGAGTCAGACCTGCTGAGAGAACCCCTGCTGATTCACAGCCCAGGGTTTGGACTAGCCCGAGTTGGAAGCTGGTTTTGATTCTCCTTTTGGAAACAGATGGTCATTAAGGCCAGAAGGGGCAAGTTAAATACAGCATTTTTAACTTCTTCATCCATCTCCAAGGTCATTGTCTTAATCTCAAGCTTAGACCATCTCCAGATATGTGGCAGCGTAGCCAGCAAGGGACCCAATGTTTACACTTGAATTTCTGTGAATTTAAGACTCCTTGCTTCTGCACTAATTTTGAGTCACATGTTGATGTTATTAAAGTTATGGCTTAGCTTTTCTAAAACAAATCAGTGAAGAACCTTGGAGGGAAAAAAAAATCTCTTCTTTGCTTAAATAGGGTTAATTTTCTAGTGTCATACATCTCATGTAGCATATCTTACCTGGTGGTCCTCAGGTCTTAAACTTTCATGAGTAGTTGGACTAGCCAAAGCTGCAGTTAGATTACTGTTATGAGCTCATACTGGAAGCCTAAATGCTGTTTGAACCATGAGGTCACACGACTGACAGAACTTACTGCTTCATGTGTTCTGAAATCTTTAGTCTCCTTCTCTGGAGATATTCAAGCCCCGCCTGGACAAGGTCCTGTGCAGCCTGCTGTAGGTGACCCTGCTTCGGCAGGGGGGTTGGACTAGATGACCCACAGAGGTCCCTTCCAACCCCTACTATTCTGTGATTCTGTGATTCTGTGATTCATGGTTATTCTGCCTCTTAGAAAAAAAAAAAAGAAAAGGTCCTCGTCTATTTGTGAGCTCCATCATAATGTAGATCTAAGAATTTCAAAACCAAATATCAAGTCTGAAAAGAGGGATTAAAAAGAAATTTCAGCTGCAGAAATGTGCAAAGTAGCATGACCACTGGTTAAAGTGTTCTGACTCTAATTTGATTAGAGGCTGGCTTTTTTGTGTAGAGGTGGTTTTCAAGCAGTAGGAGCTCTGTGTACGAATCAGAAAAACTTGCCGTTCAAACCTCTTCTCATGGGAAGACTTCCCACGTTCAGCTCTTTCTCTGTTGTGGTCCTCTGTTGTTCATGTTGCTGTTCTTGTGCTTTGCAGTCACTAGCTTCTGGAACAGGATACTTGCTGCTTTTGAATTTGCTTTTGCTGCCATCTCCCAGAATTTAATTCTGCTGGTATAGATTTTTGTAGCCAAAGGACAGTATTTACTTTTTTAAAAGTTCTAAATCTGTGTTGCTGTGGTGGTGCTTCCTAGTGGTTCATGTTTCCTGGATGGTTTTGGGACTGTGTCTCTGGCAAGAAGTGGACAACTTGGGGCATGCCCCACTGCTTTAGTTCCTTTGGAACAGGAGAGAAGGGATGAGCCTGCTTGTGAGCATTTTTCACGCTTTATTGCCTGCAGAAATCTGCTTCGTCTGCTTCCATGGTTATAACTTGTTTCGTTTTGGAATTCTTTCCAGTGAAGGTGGTGAAGTCTTATTGAGGTTGCTGATCACTGGAGAGATAAGAAGAATTTTTTAAAAGTTTTACTTGCAACAAAGTAGTGACTATAGGGTCTCTAATTTTAGAGAATTGTCAGCTCATTTTAGTTTTTTTCAGCTCAGTTTATCATCATTTTTGCTCATTTTTAAAGGTGGATTCTAAATAATGACTTTGACAGTGAAATAAAATACAAATTTTGATTTCTTGCTGTTCTTCTAAAGCAAAGTCTGGGAGGAGGAGTCATTCTAGCTGTGAAAATTGGGGAGTTGTTTGCATGTGTGAAAATTATTCTTCTGTCACAACATGAATTCTTCAAATGCTTGAGCAATTTCTTTGATCTAGGCTGAAAGAAAAATGTTTTGTGTAGTATATCTATGTTACAACTTGCTCCTGGATAAAGTATAGATGCCCTTCACATGTGAAGTGAAGCCACTCCATAGTATCTGACATAGAAGTACAGCCAAGATCTGTGCCTGTACAATAGGCTACTACTTATTGGTTAGGTGGATTCATAATCAGTATCCACAGTTCTTTTTCAGAATTTCCTTAAAAAGTGAGCCGAAGGAGGAATCTGGTGCATTTCAGGGTTGGGGAAAACATTTTCACCATCACAACATGTGTTCTGAAATCTTTAGTTTTCTACAGAAAGTTGCAATTTTCTACAGTCTTGCACAGGCTATGTGGCTTGCCTGAAGGGGTTTGCTCTCTCTTTTTTTTTTTGTTTGTTTGTTTGTTTGTGGGTTTTTTTTTTGCTGCCGTCGGAAGACTAGCTCCCACAATGTGTGGATGAAGTCTAGGACAGGCCTAGGAACTGCATAAAGGCTATTCAGCTGATATTTGTATATGCCCCAGCACAGCTCTGGGATGTAAAAAGCAAAAGGCTGGCCAGTCTCCGAATTCTCAGAGCTTTCTATGTCTGGAGGAGGAAGAAGAATGAGAAACAAGTTTGGAAAGAAATAGAAAAAAAAAAAAAAAAAAAAAATTCCTTTGCAGGTCACCTTTAACTGAGTTCACAATAACATTCAGAACCTGATAACCTGTTAGTGTCCTGACTCTAAGCATACGTGAGCACACGTTCTCAGTATGTTATTTTTTTGTGCCTATGTATACTTTTTCTTTCTTTTTGCTTCATCTAGTTTGACACTGTAATTGCAGAAGCGGCCAGCTTGATGTCCGGGAGCTGATCTCTCTCTACCCCTTCCTGTTGCCTACTTCTTCTTCATTTATACGGTCTCATCCCCCTCTGCATGAGTACGCGGACCTAAACCAGCTGACCCAAGGGGACCAGGAGAAGATGACAAAATGCAAACGATTCCTCATGAGTTACTTGAACGAAGTCCGCAGCACTGAGGTTGCCAATGGCTACAAGGAAGATATTGACACAGCTTTACTCAAGCTGTATGCAGAGGCAAATCATGAAAGCCTTCTGGATCTGCTAGTTTCAGAGAACTTCTGTCTTTTAACAGATAGTGCTGCCTGGCTGGAAAAACACAAAAAGTGAGTGGAATTCTTGAGTATCGCACCTTTGAGACCAGAGGGAAAATTGTCTTAAATGCTGTCGGCTTCCAGAGCAATGTGTTCAAATAGCTGTAGTTTCTGTGCTTTTGGGTCCAAAAGACAACATGGTCTGGTCAGCACTTAGAATTGTTGGTGAAAAGATATTAATTGACAGTCTGAGGTAAAGGAAATGCATTCTGTCTTCTGCTGGTAAATACAGAGTTCTCCCTGAAAGTTTCTATGTCCAACACAAAAATAAAGGATTGGTACAAATCTGGGGGAAGGGGGCGAAAGTGATTTGTTTGCCTTTGTGACAATGTGAGAACTGAATGGATGCAGTAGTGGTACTTGGAGAGAATGAGAAGATGCCTTAAAGCGTGTGCTACCTTAGGTAGAAGCTGTTAACCAGCTTTTAAATTTTAATTGCTTTTCTGTGCTCCCACTGCTTCACCAAAAGGAGGTTGCTTAAGATGACTGCAAATGACTTCTAATTGGACATGCCAGCAGGTGGAGAAATGACTGTCATTAAGCAGGAAACACTAGATAGTAAACGTGTAAAATGCAAACTCCATTCATAGGTAGTGTCTATTTCTTGGATTTAATTTCTTTAATCTTAAAATGTGTGGTGCAGTAGTAGCAACTACAATGGTGAGGAGGAGTCTTTAATTGAGGTTAGATTTAGGGTAGTTTCATGTATTTCAGGTGGTTTGTTAAATCCTCTTGGGTAAGCATAGTTTGCATGGCAAACTTTCACAAATGTGCATGGTAGAACATTGTTCCATGAGAACAGCTGTTACAGAACTTTAGCTGTATTTTTGTTACAGTACACCAAAAAACTCTCTAATGGCACTGTACAAAACTCTTCCTTGCCTGACTTGATTTCATGCTGCAGTAAAGAAAAAATGTTTCTGCTAGTAAAACAGAATTTTAAGTAAAAGCGTCTTAAAAATCGGATTTAATGATACCTGATTAACTATTGGAGCAATATTTGTTATTTGGAGCTGTATGTTAAGTCTGTATATAAAATTAGGAGAATGATATAGGAACCATCTCTAACCTGACACATACTTTAAGTTTGAGCTAGTAACTAGAAACTGCCTTAGAGACAGGAGAGAGACAAACATATTTCTAGGAAGTAACTTCTCTCCTTGGATTCTGGAAAAGAGCCTAGAGACACTTGTTCAAGTGTAGGCATAGCCATGTACATGTCACTAAGTAATTATTTGTTAGATTCTGCGCTAATCAACCCATAATGAAATTGGTAGGAAAGATCTAGCGATTTTAAAATATTTTGTCTTTCTATACAGGTATTTTGCCCTTGGTCTCCTGTATCACTACAATGGTCAGGATGCTGCAGCGCTTCAGGTTAGAACAAAGCTTTTAGTGTCGTCTGTAAACCATGCCAAAATACCAGTTTACCTCTTAGGTAAAAATCTGAGGTGCTGATTTATCTGTTTGAGAAGTAGTGATGTGTATATAGGAGAAACTTATGCTAAGACTTTCTTGAATAAATTAGTATGCTGGATGTGAAAAACTTCAAGAGCTTACTGAAGATGACAGCTATTAAGATGCTTGTATGCTATTTTTTAAGCAAAACTGTGCATACAAGAAAAAATGTTTGTGTTCTTAAAAGTGGGCAGAAGCGCTAAAATAATCAAGGGATTGCTTAAAAAGTTGTTTGAGGGACTTCAGGAACATATCTTATGCTAACAAAGTTTATTGCTAAACTGGTCTGCTAGATATGGCACCTTTTAGATACAATTATGTATATAAAAATAATCACACAGAGTACTTAAAGTTCTTCAGTCAACATGAAAGAGGAGCAAAAAATCAGTTTTCATTCTAATTTGTCTGTATCGTTTGCTTTTTATCTTGCACACGCAGAACACATGAAAAGTATACCATGCATTGGAGATAAGGACTTTTATCAAAAGCTTGCTTTGTGATTAGTGTACCTCCTCCTGAAGTATTCAGGCAATCGCTCTAGGTGACATAAATTTTGAGTTGGAAGAGCTAATATATGTTTTAAGCACTTTAATCTGTGTGTTTTTGTTGCAGTTATGGGTGAAAATAGTTGATGGACACATTGAAGATTCTACACGTTCAGATCTCTATGAATACATAGTAGACTTCCTTACATTCTGCTCAGACCAAGATCTAGTGTGGAAATACTCTGAATGGGTTTTACAAAAAAATGAAGAGGTTTGTGATTGGTGTACTTTTCACAGAACGTCTAAAGTATTTCCCTGCAGTGTTGTTTGGGTGTTTATTAACGTTGTTCCATCTTGATAGCTAATTGGACCATTTTTGCAGATCAGTGATTAGTGATCAACAGAAGAAAAGCTCCAGGTTTCTCAGTTCTTCTAAGTCCCTCTGTTAATAAGTGCTAGTGATAATTACCTCTTTTTCTTCTGAGAGCAAAGTTTAGGTCATTCTGTATAATGAAACATACAGTATGTCTTTTTATCATATGAAGCAAGGTGATTTTCAGATCTTAAAAAAATAAATACATAAAAAATCACCTAACAGGTTAACCGTTGCTGCTATTTCTTTTTTGACAGGATTCCAGGGACGGGTGATACCTGCGTACACTAGGAAGTGGAATAAATAGCCGTAATTTAAGACACAATCTCATTGCTACAAGGATTAACTTAATCCACCAAAATAAAAAAAAAAAAATTGTACCATCCATTAGTGTGGTGTGCTGCTAAATGGCATGCTTGATGCTGTATCAGTCTGTGCTGTTGGAACTTGTCACTGTCTAACTTGTATTGGTTTGAAGCTCAGTTATTACATGCAATGACAGATTTCTGAAGTTTTGTTTTGGTCATTACAGAAGTCTCTTGCTCTGTGTTTATCATCACATTTGATAAGGATGCAAACATTCTGGTCTGACTTAACACTTCCTTGCTGCACAGGCTGTTACGCGGACCTGTTCAGTACTTTTGGTGGCTGGTGGAGGTTGTGCCCAACGCCTGGTTTACAGGCTGGACAATGTATAGACTACGAATTGAGGTAGTGGAGGTAGGAGTGAGTAAGCACCCAGTAGTGTAATCTTGGTGGTGTTGAGCAGGGTTTTGTGTTGTTTATCTTGCTGAACAATGTACTAACTAATCTGATAGTGCTATGAAATAGGTATTTAAGATAAAAAGGTAATGAAGGGGTTGCCTTTGAGTTCCTAAATGCAATTAACTTTTTCTAGGTTGGCATACAGATTTTCACTAAAAGGCCTTTGGAAGAACAGGAGAAAAACATTAATCCAGATGATATCATCAGTTGTCTTAACAAATACCCTAAAGCACGTGTTAAATATCTAGAACATCTAGTATTGGAAAGGAAAATAGAGGTGAGTCCTACAAGAATACTAAAAATAAGCATAGGATTCAGAATGCAGACTGTGATGAACAACTTCGAAAAAAGAGAAGTCCAGAGAAATAAGCATAATTTGAAGGCTTTCAGATGTGCTCAGAGTAGGCAAGGAGTGGTTTTAAGATTAAAGTAGAAGATGAGGAGCAGAGAGCTGCATTATTTTTAATTTTTCAACTGTCATGATGGCAAGACAGTTGCTTGCCTCCCCTCAGAGGTTTGGGGGTTTTTACATGTGATTATTGTATGCTTTTCTGTTTCACCGGTGAGGCTCAAACCTCCATCTGGTAAGATCATAGAAAAACAGTTGAGCAACTGCTAATCCTATTGCACCGTGGCAGGAATATACTAAAAATTGTTGATTCAGTATTTTACAGGTGGATGTGTCTTATTCTGTCCTTCTGGAGAGATTTGAGCAATTAATGATAGAATTAAACCAGGCACATCTCACTGTAGAATTCTAAACCACTGTAGATGGTGAATGTCCAAAAGATGTGTTCACAGGAGGTGGCAGTGTATTCTGCCTTTGGCTTTTTAAGCACAATGCAGAAGCAGCCAAACATTATGGTACTTGGATGTGAGACATTTTAAGCACAGGAGAAGTAACTTTAACCTGCAAATAAAACAAGGAAGTGAACATGAAGGAACACAGCAGAACTGATGACCAGTTCACTAATTTGCATTCGTCAGATACACATGCTAGATCAATGGTTTCCTTCTGTCGCTATTGCAAATACATCAAGGTACGTGGCAGCGTGATGGATGAATATACTAGTTTCTGGTGTCATGAATATTTTCAAACAAACTTTGAGTTAAACATAGTGCATTGTAGAAGATTTATAACAAAAATAAATTATAATTAAATCTACTCTGCCTGCTAGTAAAGGCTGCATTATAAATTGATTTGGTCTCTTGAAAGTACTCGATTTATAAATTGATTTGGTCTTTTGAAAGTACTCGATTATTGTGAATGCCTTAGTAAGAATCATAGAATCATAGGTTGGAAAAGACCTCTAAAATCATCAAGTCCAACCATCCACCCAACACTGCTATGCCTACTAAACCATATCCTGAAGTGCCATATCTATACATTTTTTTAAACACCTCCAGGGATGGTGACTCAACCACCTCCCTGGGCAGCCTGTTCCAGTGCCTGACCACTCTTGCAGTAAAGAAATTTTTCCTAATATCTCATCTAACCCTCCCCTGACACAACTTGAGACCATCACTTCTTCTCCTATTGCTAGTTACGTGGGAGAAGAGACCAGCACCTGCCTCACTACAACCTCCTTTCAGGTAGCTGTAGAGAGCAATAAGGCCCCCCCTCAGCCTCCTCTCCTCCAGACTAAACAGCCCCAGTTCCCTCAGCCGCTCTTCATAAGACTTGTTCTGCAGACCCCTCACCAGCCTCGTTGCCCTTCTCTGGACAGGCTCCAGCCCCTCAATGTCCTTCTTGTAGTGAGGGGCCCAAAACTGAACACAGCACTCGAGGTGCGGCCTCACCAGTGCTGAGTACAGGGGCACGATCACCTCCCTGCTCCTGCTGGCCTCGCTGATACAAGCCAGGACACCATTTGCCTTCTTGGCCACCTGGGAACACTGCTGACTGAAACAGTCAAATCATCAGCTTGTTTTGATGAATATTGGGTAGTGGGTAACAAAAGCACTGGGCCTTCAGAGTGCTTGTCTATCTGTGCTGGCTTTCTCACATTTTACTGCAGAAAGAGAGAAGGTCAAAGAACGCATCTGAATATGAGGAAGAATGAATTAAATCAAAATGACTCACTCTATGACCAAAACAAAAGGAGAGGACACAGTGGAGATTATACTTTTACTCAAAGGAGAGAGAACTGCTTTACTGCATTGACTTTCACTAAGTGAACTTTTGAAAGGAAATAATTTTTGCAGAAGAAAAGTGATTTATAGAGCTTGGTTATTTAAGGTGAATAGGTGTTTAGGACTACGATGTTTCATATCTACATTTTGGAAATATCTATGTTAATGAAATGGAGAATCCCGTACTATAAATACAGTGTATTTGGTGAAGCTGGTCTGAGTAAGTTGTCTGTCTGCACGAACAAAAGACTTTCTGATTAATTAGAAGTGAATGAATTAAAACATGTTTCTGTGTAATTATGTAAGTATTCATCACTGTTATTGGTGGGGAGAAGGGGTTGGCTTTGTAAACTGAGCTAACATTGTTCTTTTCATCTGTAGAAAGAGAAGTACCATACTCATCTAGCTGTCTTGTACTTGGAGGAAATACTTCAGCTAAAATCTGTAACCACAGATAATTGTACAGAAACAACTGAACTGCTGGTTAAACTACGCAGTCTTCTTCAGAAATCTGATCTTTATAGAATTAATTTTATTTTGGGTAAGATACGCATTGTCTGTTATAAATGCTATATATCAGTTCCAGCAGGAAACAAAATAAAGTGCTTGAAAGGGTGGAAAACTAAAAGATCTGAGGTTTCTAGGTGTATTTGGTTGATAGGCTTACCATCTGTATTTAACAGACACAAGTTAATTTAGAAAGCATATCTGTTAGTGTTGTCCTTGATCTCCCATAGCTTGTGAGGTATAATGGAATGTTTGCCACTGCATCAGAGTACCGTAACTAGCTAGAAAAATACCTTCATAGAATTGTTGTCTTAATTTATAGTCAGTTTCTTTTTAATGATGAGAGTGTAACTTGGGACAGTCTTTTGCAAATGGAAGACTTACAAGTTTGTTTATTAAGCAGTCTGTTTCTCAGTGAACTGAAGTGAAGCTTTGAGGAACCTGATCACCAAGGACTTGTTTGTTGTCTGTAACACATTCTCGCCTCAAAAGCTGAGATTCATGCTAAACAATAATTTGAGCATCTTTGAGTGAAAAGTGCAACATACGTCTTTGTTGGTATAAGGCATGTGACAGTTGCACTAAATTTTTATCTTGGCTAGTGCTTATAACGGCTGATCTTTAACGTTTCATCCACTGTCCCAGTGGATGAAACGGAAATTACTAGTTACTGTACTGAAAGATGTGAAATGTTTTTCTGAAATTCAGTGGAAAAATCCAGTGAGTGTGGACATAAAAATAGCTGAGTGGCAACTAAAGTAATTTACTAACGTTTGATGTCCCCTTGCCTTTCCAGTTAGCAAAACATTATATGACAGATAATGTACGAGTATAACAGTCATTGAAACACTTGCTCTTCATCCTTTAATTTCTAACCAAATTTTGAAAGGCACAAGTTACAAGATGGATTATTCTCTTGAAATCCATGTACTCCAAAACACAGGATTTCTTTCATGGCAATTAATATCTTACATGAAGGTGAGATCACTGAACGCTAGTGTGTTCCTCCTTGATAACCAAACTGTTTGGGGGGAAAAAACATTGTATTTCCATACCTTGTACAGAGGCCTATGTCAAATCTTTATCACCTTTAAGTAGAAGATTTTCTACTTTATCTTGAAATGCCAGATGAACTTGCCATTCCCCCTGCCAGTCTCTTAACACTTTAAACTGTCAGATGGGAATTAGGGTTTGTAGTGTCCTTTTCTTAAAAGGAAGTACTGTTCGATCTTTATTGTCTTTTATGGACTTTAATTTGTAATTGTTTATAATATTGGAGAAGCAGAAGTTGAAAATATTGTGTCTTCATCTTAGTTTATCATACATGGTAGCAGCGTGTACAGAAATGGGCAAGACTGACTGCTCGAATTTAAAAGATAGCAGTGACACTGTTTTTATCATCTCTTATGTAGTAGTTTCTTTCTCTCATATTTTGTGGTGCTCTTTTGTTAGAGATGTTTTTCCATACATCTGGGTGTTCCTGTACTTACAAACATCTGTCCTGTCTATAGCTGCCAGCACCCCTGCAAAAATAGCAGGAGTTGAGTTCTGTGGGTTTGTTTGCATTGACTCTGGCAGAGGCAGTAGTCATCTTCTCCACTGAGCAAATATTGCTTTATTTCTCATTTAACAGAAAAAATCCAGGGCACAGACCTTCATATGGAAAATGCGATTTTGTATGGAAAACTAGAAGAACATGAGAAGGCTTTGCATATTCTAGTCCACGAGTTAAAGGACTTCCGTGCTGCGGAAGAGTACTGTGTATGGAACTCTGAGAACAGAGACACGCAGTACAGACGGAGGCTTTTCCACATGCTGCTGTCAGTGTATCTAAATCCAGGCGCTTCGGATTGTGCACTAGTCATGGCTGCTGTGGATCTCTTGAATAACCACGCTGCTGAATTTGACACGGCTCTAGTTTTGCAGCTGGTGCCTGACAGCTGGTCAGTGCAGCTCCTCTCGCCGTTCCTGGCTGGAGCAGTGAGGCAGAGCATTCATACAAAAAGAATGACTCAGGCTGCCCTTGGGTTAGCACAAGCTGAAAACTTAATCTACAAATACGAGAAGGTAGGTTGTTTGGTGTTTTTTTTTTTTTAAATAGAGGCACATCAAAGCTTTGCTATTAAGTCCTTTGATATATAATAGTTGGAGGAAGTTTGAAGAATTAGGACAAAGTTTTCTTCGTGTCCTTGGCAATTTTGCTTACTACATTTGTTAGTTTTTTTGTCATGACTACTAGATTCAAACTTAATTTTATGCTTTCTCTATAAAACAAAAGGGAAGGTGGGGGCCTTGAAATAGGAACAACTATGGTGAACTTCTGGGCTGAGTGAAAGTGAATCTGGGATTTTCAGATTAATGGAGTTCTTGAAGCAACTTTAGCAAATGTGAGTTAGCGTTTCTTTTTCACTTGGGTTGAGACCTATCGGAATTTGCAAAAAAAATTTACCCAGTGCTTAGTATTAATTGAAGCTTGTTAGTAGCTTTTGTTAGTGGTAAATTCACTTGTGAAGCTTTCTTCTATTCCTAGCTAGAGGTGTGTTGCTTAAAGCTCCCAGCAGATTCTTATACCTTTTTAGTTCTAACAATGGTATATCCAGCAGAATCTTATCTGGAATAAAAACATGTCTGTGCTCAGTTTGCTGTGTAGCTGTCCTGTGACTTTGGTTAGGAAGCTGCATCGGGTTTTCAGTTGCATTAATGTGTAAGTGCTATTCTTTATGAAACAAACAAAGAAGAAATAATATGAAAGTGAAAAAAATAAGCAATACTTAAGAGGAAGCATGAAAATGAAGTGAGTATGAATGTGGATATTGAATTCAAGTTAGAGTTCAAGCTGTCTTTTCCTACTACCTCTGTCATTGCCTGGGTTTGTCTGTTTGGTACAGCTGAAATTATGTGCCTTGTAATTTCCCTTCCTTTCTTGCTAGATTCATGTTTGGATTTTTTTCCCCCTCTCTTTAGGTTAAACAAAAAGGAACCCCAATTCTTCTTTCGGACAAAAAGGTCTGTCAGGTGTGCCAAAATCCTTTCTGCGAGCCTGTATTTGTAAGATACCCAAATGGGGGTATGGTCCACACACACTGTGCTGCAAATAGACATCTGAATTCAACCATGACTCATCACTCTTCCAGCTCCAGCAATCAGACTTGAAATATGTTCTGGCCCCACGGGTTCCCATGACTTACACTCCATTGAAAGTGGGATGGAAAAAAGAACAAAGTGCAGCTACTTTAGGTATAAATCAAGATGAACAGCTAGTCTTTGGGTGAATGGGAAGACTTCCAGTAAATATGAATTATTGCCACTTATCTTTTTGATTTCTAATGAATGTAGATAGAAAACTCACTACCAGAAATGGAGAGGTGCAAATATAGGCTTTTCTGTATATAGTAATGAGCAGTTAAAGAAAATGAGCCTTTTCTTCACAGTAAGGATGAATGTTATGGAAACAAGGCGAACAGTTATTTTAAGAAATGTCACTTTGCACTGAACGTAGTGTTGATAAATTTGTAGAGGTGGAGATGGCATCTGATGGAGCTGGAATTCTTGGAACATTATGTAAGAAGACTGGCATCGTGCAACTTACTATCAAGACAAAAATGTGCATTGGTTATAACGTTTGCTGCAGCATGTCTTCTTTTGGGATGGATTCTCTTCCCCAGGATCACATGAACTTTATTTTTGCTCTACAAATTGTTGGCTTTCAATGCACTTTTTAGTACTCCCCCCTCCCACCCCTCCTCTGCTACTTAGAATTTAAATGTAAGCACTGGTCTGTTAGGTTTCTACTCCTACAGTTACTGTAATAAAGCAAGTGGAAACTGATAGCCTCAGTCACACAGCTGTGCTTGGAAGAAAAAAAAAATACGAAGTCAGATTATCTGGTCAGACCATAGTCACTTTTATGTGGAGGAAGAGACCTTAACTTTAATACTAATTTATTTATTAATATGCAAATATACTGTACATACAGCTGAATAAATCGATCTTATATCATTCTAGAGTTTCTTTGGAGGCTAAAGATGTAGCTGATACATAAGTGTACAGGTTATGTGCTAAATGTTTGCTATAACATAACTTAGGGATGCTGAAACTCCACAAGAATAGGTTTTAGTACTTGTGGATGAGTTTGTGTGATCAGAATCATGGAGAGAAGGTACAACTGGGAAGAAATCTACAAAGGTGTGCTGCAGGGGTACTGGATTTGTTACGTTCTACAAAACATTCTGTGAACTAAGATTTTACAAATAACAAGAAGAACCCTTTACTTAACTGCCCTGCTAAGTATTCACATTGATATTTAACTATCCTAAAGCAATCAATTTAAAAGTAGCTTCTTACAAGAGATGTTAAAAAATGATGACTTTAAATAAAAGTTAAGTATTTCAAAGTCAAAGCATTTATTTTAATTCTGTAAAGCTCTAATAAATACCAAGCCTACTGACCAGCATGCAGTTGAGTTAGTATGGCTGCTCGCTGTTTCAGTGTTCCAAATCGGAGTGGAGACTTTCAGCAAAATTGGGGTATCTGCATGGTAGCTTCTAGATGTGGTCTCCTTCTCTCAGAGGCCTCCTGTAGAGGAAAGGACGGCTTGTGAAACAACCTCGTAAGCATAGCGCTGCCTCCAGGACAGGGCAACCAGACTACATCCAGGTGAAAAAAATAGCCATTTCTTTGAAGCAAAAGACATTTGGCTCTTTCCTGAGTTTGAAATTAGAGAATTGTAGCTGTTGGCTTTTAAAAAACAAAATCCGAGAAAGGAATTTTGTAGTGCTTTCTACAAAGGCATGTAAGTCATGTCTAGGTAAAGGCAGCTTCAAAAAAGACAAATGTGTGCATTTTTGACTTAATTTTGGCTTCACAGGAGTGATTCTTTTGTGTTGCACTGGTATGAGCAGATTCTTCTGTATCTTGTGTTCACGGTTTTCAGACACTGTGTACACAACTGGCAGTGATGACATAAACAAATTTGTAGTCCCCTGTCCTCAAAATACTTGCTGATAGAGAGGAAGTGATTTTACAAACATCTGGTAAGTCTTTTGCGTACAGTAGCTTGCACTCTGTAAGAAATACTTTCTTTTGCTGCAAGCATCCTCAGTATACTTTGTTCCTGTGTAATGAGGTACTAGGACAAATAATCACTTTCCATGATGAAGGCTGATTCTAGCCACTTGGTAGTGATGAACTTAGTCTTGTCAATTAGCATTGCAGTGCAATAGAGATCATGTCATTCCAGACCACAACGTTCTTAACTGGAAAAGGTATGGCTGTAGAAGATCAAACAATTCTTTATTAATATTCAATATTTTTTCAGATTTGTACTTTGGCTAAAATGCAGCAGTAACAGTAACTGTACATACAGAACAAACACAGAAACCAGAGTAATGCAAGGCAGGATATTTGGAATCATAGGGAACCAGAAGGATGATTAATATTTATATCAGGGAATCTAATTTTTAGCCCCCCAGAAATGTGGACTGGAAAAAACGTTGACGTTGGATTTATACATTGTTACCTGTTTCTTTGTTAAATTTTATACTAGAACTTATTTGGATGAATTAATGTGGAAGCCCCATGGTAACAAAAAGAAAAAGCAAAAAAAAAAACAACGTGAGGCTGAGGTAGAGCAGGAGCTCAGTGGAGAGGTGGCACGTGGTATTCTGTATGTTATCGCCAGGAACTTTGAGAGGTCTGCATTCAGATTCCCTTTGGTAGGACAACTGCAACACCCCTTGGGTCAGAGAACTTCACGTTGGAGATCCTGAGTTCATTGCTCCTTTTGTTGTGGCACTGTCAGTTTGCTCGTTCTTGTTTTGTGTGCCTGAAGTCCTGGGACAGCATTGCTACTGTGGTGAGTTCTGCTGGTGTGGCTGCAGCAGCAGGGAGGGGACGAACAGTAATCCGGTTGTTGGTTGGTGACTGGATACGTGAAGAAGGAGAGACAGGAATGAGGAATATTTCTTTGACTGTCCTGGTTTGGAAATTAAATGGGTTCTGGGAGTTTAAGCTTGATGCAATCTTTTTCTCTCCTGTTAGGGAATGTGGTGTCTTAGACCTGCCCTTGGAGAGAAGAGATTGTTAGAATACTTCTCCTTAATTTAGCTCTTGCTAAATTATTTGTGTTTGCAATAAGACTCTTCCAATTTTGTATGTGTGAAAGCCGAAACAGTGCAGACTTTTAATGTGAGAGTGTGTCTGTGATTCCGGACACAATAAATGAGATGAGTCTCTCACACAGATGCTTTTGCAGGTATTGGGGCATGTTTCCTTGACATGTAGTGTCTAATTACAGAAAAACTGCAGCTCTGACTTTGTTTTTAGCCATCCTCTGTTGCAGTCACTTATACATACAAAAAGCACTGGTTAAACCCTTTTCTGCTCTTTCGTATCTCCACGCTTCCTCACATAAAAATAACCTATGATGTGTATCTGTCATCACACGCAATTTATCCCCCAAGTCAAAAAGAGAAAAAACACTAGTGAGAAGAAACTGCCCAGAATCTGGCACTCTGCTCGAAATAAGATTAATGACTGTACATTTATGAGAGAGAATTCAGTTAGATCTTCATTTCTATGCTTTAAAGCAAGAAGTTAGCAGATTGATAATATGACAAGAATACTGATCTACAGTATTCTCTACATCTGGAGAAAATAAGCGATTGTTTTTTGTTGCACAGAGCACACCGCAGGTGCCTGTGAACTGGCTTCCTCAGGCAGCCCGCTCTGTGGTGGCTCAGATGTGCACGGGAGTCTGGGTTACGTTGAGAGCTGCTTGCTCTGCTCCTCAAGCTCCAGAAACTTTCTGCCCTTTGTTACCTGAGTAATGTCACTCTTCCAGCACTTCATTGCCATGGGTGTAAATCTGGAGTTCTGGGTGGAGTGCTGAGCACATCTGTCTTTGTTCAAGAAAATGTCACTTAATTACATCAGCCACATGAAACCCTAGTAATGTCAGCTGTGGAAAGGTGGTGGTAGGGATGGAGTATGCATATGTTTTCCAAGACCTGTAGCACATGTTTGAACACAGAAGCATTATCCTGACTCCACTGAATCTTTATGACAATGTCTGTTCCTTCCTGGACTCGCTATCCTGAATGATACTAAAAAAATATTTTATGCAGTTTTATCAAGAAGTAACTTTTATTACTCTTCCCAATTTGCTGCAGTCTTTCTTCAGCGTAGCTCTGTTTTATTAACATCCTGCTGTTCATAATAGGCAGCAACCAACACATTTTCATTGTGAGCACTCCCCCTATTGCCTATATTTACTAATTAATTTTTCTCTTGCTGTACAACAGTTTGGGGCTTATGCCTTGTGAGCACTGATAATTAAATGTGCTGCTGCTTTTAAAGGGAAAAGAACTTGATGATGTTCTTGATATCTGATTGATTACAAAACAGAAGTTCCCCTGCGATGAATTTGTTCAGAAGGAAATCTGTACTGTCAGTGCTTTCTGACTTCATGGTTATGTTGGTGAACATATACAGCAGTATGTGGAATGTACAAATGTATAAATATGTTGATTTTTAATTAAAAAAAATCTTTTAATTATGTTTCTGTCATTCATTCCTAGGTATGTAGACTGTGGGATGTGAATGGCCAAGAGAAGGAGAAAGATTTTTCAGTGGTAAATAGCGGATTTGTCTGGGTGACTGACAGAGGTGGTCAGATGAAAAGGCTGAATTAAGCAAGTGCAGGGTGTTAAAGGAGGTTAACAGGTGTTTTTGAAAAGGAGTGAATTTTAGTTTTGGGAAGAAGTTTTGCCTTGTATTTACCGCTTCCTTGACTGAATGTGGGTTTTTTACAGGTTCAGGTGAAAGTGGTTACTGCCATGACAGGTTTGGAAGATCTTGGTCAGCCCCTATGTAGCTGAAGCAATCCCTTCCGTGATTAAAGCCAGCAGTTACATGGGGTCTGGTCAGTGACGGGGGTGTGGGCATCCCAGATCAACACCAACAGGAGGACAAAGATGTTTTGAGGGGAGGACCTCGGAACAGGGCCAGCGTTGATCTGGGAGCATAGGCCAGTAGTTGAGAGCAGTAAAAGCGATTCTGTTTGCAGAGTTTGCTTGGGGAGCGGGTGGAAAGTGAGCTTAATCTGCAGCTTCTCCACTGGAGCACTCTTTAGTAAAAACAAAACATGCAAGTGCTACCGAAGTTGGATGGTGTTTATTTTTATTACTAGAGATCCCCAATTCAAGCTTAGGAAGCCAAAAGCAGAGTTACTGCTAGAGCCTAGCCCACGTCCCCAGGAAAAGGGGATTCTTACATCCCTGCAGTGGGCAAATGAGGCTGGCACTTAAGTGCTCTGCAGCAGGGAGCCGGCGTTCCTCGTCCTCCTCCTTGCTGCTCAGGAGAAATGGCCCTAGCTCAGAGCAGGCTTCGAGGCTGGAGGGCCGGGTGTCCTCCTCTTCCCACTTCCCGCAGAAGGGGCCAGGGCTGCTGCAGTGGCACTACGGGACCCACTGATGAGGAAACCCCCGGAAAGGGAGGGTGGTAAGGGCTGGTAACGGGGCTGCGGTAAACCAGGGAAACCAGTGGTGTCTCCAAGGGGAGGCAGTGAGGCAGAAACACAGAGGACAGTAGAGGAAAGAGAGGAAACTGTCTTTAGGACGTGCAGGTGTGACCTAATTCGGCTGGTCTCCAGCCCCGCTCTGCGTGTGCGTGGGTCTTTTCTCCCTGCATCTTCCCTGCCCACAATATAGGGGGAATCCTGTACGTGACCAAAATGCACTGCGGATGCTGGCTAGAAAGTGTAGGCAAGCAGTGGCCTTTAGGTAATGAGGAATGGGAAAACTGGATAAAGTGTCTCTCAGCCCTGAAAAGACATCACTGGAAGGAGTTTAAGAGAATGTGGCAGTAACCAGGCAGGGGGAGAGGTGGTCGCTGCTAGGTTTGTGTATTGGTATGGGCCTGTGCATCATGAAGGGGTGATGTGTCCTTTGCCTGCTACGCCCCTCGCCCGTGCAGTTTGTGGATGTGGTGATTGTCCCAGCAAACTATAAAATGGGCAGACCTCACTGAAGCCGTGGTTTGGCTTTGGTATGGATGATTCTGTCACCTGGATATTTTACTGCTCTTATGCTAAGTATCACTTGGTTCTTTGCATATGCTGTTTAGTCATCAGCACTTGCTCCTTGTTTCAAGTTTGTGCAAATAATATTTTCACCTGTCTTTTTGTTGCTGCATTGTTTAGCCAAAAGGAAGTTTATATAAAGAAATAATACCAGAAAGACTGCTGAGCAGTAGCCACGTGCCATTCAGTCAATCTGGTTTCAGTGGCAAGTGTGGCTTTGACAGCATTGCGCTGTTGTGCTTTTATTTGATGTCTCAAAACCAAATAACAAATGGGAGCGTGCTCATTCTCCAGCTTGGTTTGTGCATTAAAAACTCATGGGGTGGTCAGAAAGAAAGACGCAGAAGCAAAATTTCTGCCATTTGGCTAATTCTTCCCTGATTTTCAGCTACTTCTCTGAAACCACTTCTTAGATGGCTGACTGGCTCTCCTCGGAAGCATCGGTTGTATTACTTTTTCTCATTTGGGCACTTTGGAGAGAATCCTGGATGGTTGTGCCTGAGCTCAGCTCAGCCCTTGTGAAGCATCTTGGTGCTCAGGCAGCAGAGGACAAGGTAAACCCTCAGCCAGGCAACGCAGGCGCTGGCAACGCTGCAGGCATCTGCTGGGTGCGGGAGGCAGGTTGTGCACCGCGCAGCTGGGGAGCCGGCAGGGTGAAAATCCAACAGGCAGAGCGGGAACCGTAGCGAGGGGCTCTTGTTCTGAAGTTCAGGTGTGTGTTCACTTGGCAAGGTTTCTACAGCACTGTCAGGTCAGATTTGTTCCTCTGGCTGAAGCAAAGGCTATGGGCATGTTGGTGGGTGTTCAGGACGCTCTCGCAGAACATTTGGGATGCAAAGGTTGGAGTGCAGCATGATGCTGAAAGGAACGAAGAACTTTACTGCAGCAAGCATCACTTTGTTAGCTCAGCCAGCAGGACAGTCCTGGTTTGAATTTCCCCAACCATCCATCCAGTCAGGGGAAGAAGGGCAACGCAGAAAGCATTAAAAAAAAAAAATGGTTGTGGCTTTGGCACGGTGGTATTTCAGCTAGTTTTGCCTCTAGAAAGAGGTTGGAAAATGCTCCGCACTAATCATCCAGATGGCAACTCCTTCCAAGACAAGTAATCAATAGAGCATAGCTGAGTTTCGGCAGAAACGAGCCCCAGAGGTCCAGTTCACTGCAACAACCATAGCTGCAGGACAGCACAGGGTCAAAGAGGCCAGGGCTGCCAACAGAAAGCTGATGGCTGAACAGACAGTGGTTTTCAGTGGGTAGTTGGGCTGATAATAATAGTGCCTAAATATCTAATAGCAGTCATGAACAACACTCTATTGCCTATAATCGCCAGCAACCCCCTGCAGATACTGCCTTGTCAGTGTGGTGTTTGCATTGAGCGGGACCTGACCATACCAAAGTCTGTTAAAATCCTAGGAAAATTTAGGCTGGCTGGGTTCTCCAGAGACGGTCTTGTCCAAGCCCAACTCGAAGCGGGGTTAACCTGTGTTAGATTGGTTGTTGTTGTTTTAAACCGGTGCTGACAAGCTTGAAACCACACTGGGAAGGGCCCAGGTATCTTCTGGTCAGCTCTTTGCCGGAGGAATGTATTGCTTAAACATCTGCAAGACTCTGTGGTGAGTAAATGGCTAAAAGGTGGATCTGTCTTGGAGGAGTTGTTTGGGTTTTTTCCAGATATTACAGAAGGACTGAATAAAGAGCAAATTTACAGAAAATAGTAAGCTACTGATGACAGCTTCAAGAGTGTCTGCTTGGTGCTTCTCTGACCTGGAGAAGTACATTCAAATAAAATGCATAGTTTTTATATCTGTTTGAAAGTCACAGACTGCATGCAAATATGATTCAATCCCTTTAGTCCCTGGAACGCACACGGTTACTCCACAGTGTCGTGCCAGAAAGCTGCCAGTTTGACGGAAATAGGGGTGTTTCTATGTGAACTATAAGCAGTTGAAGATGGGGAGGGAGGAGCACAGGATGGATTTGTATCTGCTAGTTTAAAAAATGTTATGCACTGGGGATTTACATTTGCAAATCGGAAAAAAAGGTTTTAATTTCTGTACTTGTTTGATCCATCTTTAGGTTTTAACTTGTCATATCTTACTTCAAAGCATCTCTGTGGCCTATTGTGACCCAGAAAGTTTAGAGTTCCTTCTTCAAAACTTTGCTGAAAGCTCTTCTTGTGGATGGAAGCCACTCAGTACACCCCCAATACCCCAGCCATCACGCCAGGAGTATTTCTGACAGCAGTCACTCATTCGGCAATGCTGAGTGGCCATAGAAACGTGGTGGTCAAAACTAAAAACTACAACGTAAAGAAATCTCAGTCCTGGAGGAGGGAGGAATTCTCTTTTTAAGCTGCTTTTGACTTTCCCATCTGCCTGATACAAAGTCACTTACAAGTGTGTGGTATTTTGTACACAAGTAATCATGGAATCAGAGAGTGGCTTGGGTTGGAAGGGACCTCAAAGATCATCTGGTTCCAACCCCCCTGCCATGGGCAGGGACACCTTCCACTAGACCAGGTTGCTCAAAGCCCCATCCAGCCTGGACTTGAACAATTCCAGGGAGGGGCCACAGCTTCTCTGGGCAACCAGTGCCAGTGTTTCACCACCCTCATAGGAAAGAATTTCAGCCTTGCGTCTAACCTAAACTTGCCCTCTTTCAGCTTGAAGCCATTACCCCTTGTCCTAGCACTACAAGCACCTGTAACAAGGCCCCCTTCAGTTACTGAAAGGCTGCAGTAAGGTCTCCCTGCAGCATTCTCTTTTGCAGGCTGAACAGCCCCAACTCTCTCAGCCTTTCCTCACAGGAGAGGTTCCAGCCCTTGTATCATCTTTGTGGCCTCCTCTGGACCCGCTCCAACAGGTCCATGTCCTTCTTGTGCTGAGGGCTCCAGAGCTGGATGCAGGACTTCAGGTGGGGTCTCAGCAGAGCGGAGCAGAGGGGCAGAATCCCCTTCCTCGCCCTGCTGGCCACGCTGCTTCTGGTGCAGCCCAGGACATGACTGGCCTTGTGCTAATAACTTTCCTCCCCGTGAAAGCAAAAATGGAAAGGCTTTCTTGATTGAAGCCATGCCGTGACAGTATTTGAAGGCAGCCAAGAAGAAGATCTGCCAGAGCCTTTTTTCAAAGCAAATACCCCCAAAAGCACCAAGAGGGCTACGAATGCAAAAGCCAGGCTTCAGGAAATTGAGAGCTAGAACAGTTTTACAATAGACAAAGCTCATGAGTTGGGTAGGGAGAAAGTTTTAAAGGTTTTCAAGCAAATCCCCCAGCTTGTGTCTTGTGTCAAAGGTCAGGTTTTGACTTCTTGTTAGGCTTCAGAACAGACTTCGGTGGCTTCCTTCCACCCAGACCCATCTTGCTCCCTTGGCAAAAACCCCGCTGCTCCTGCTGTCAGGGGCTGCTGGTCTCCGCTGAGTCCTCAGGCTCCCATCGGTTCCCCTCCGGCTTGCTCGCTTGCTGCCCTTGCTTGGCTGCACCTTGCTCTCCAGCCACCTTCCCCGGCCGGAGAGCTGCGGGGCTCTCGGGGCAGCGCAGGTACCGCCTTGCCCGGCGGCTGCAGCTGGGGCTGGGCAGCTGGGCCCTCTGCGACGGACCATGGGCTGGGGAGGAGCGGCGCTGGAGCAGGGAGTGGGGAAAGGCCAAAAAAGGTAGCTCCCATTGTCGTTTTGCCAGCATGGTCTGTTAAAAGTAGTTCGTTTTTCCTCTCACGTCTTTGCCTTTTTCACTTGGCATTAGAAGAGTTTTTGTTTCTTCTGCTGGTCTTTTCAAAAAAAAAAAAAAAAAAAAAAAAAATTTCCCCCTTCCCAACTTTTTGGAAAAAAAAAAAAAAAAAAAAAAGATTCTCACCTGTCCAACTCTTTGGCAATAAATACATTGGTGTATTGGTGTGTGCACAGGCTTTAATGGACTCTCTGAGGGAGAGCAGAAAGGAACTAACAAAAGGTGAATGATTTTGTTAATTTTTCCCCTTTTGCTGTTGGGAGAGGGTCAATTTTACCAGTTACTTTGTCAAAAACTTTTACAGCTGGGAGCAAGTGAAAAGGGCAAAATACAGAGCTTGCTTTGGGTTTGACCACTTTCCTCTTCAAATATGTATCAAAATCTTGTGCAGATTGATATTAAGCTGTAGCAAATTGCTAGGTAGTAAAAATGAAGTAAAAATGAACAAAGTCCCCTAACTTTATTAAGCCGTGCTGCATTAACTAAAGAGAAAAGCTGTGCTCTAACACAAGAATTCAAGGTCTCTCAACTTGGCAGCAATATCTTTCACTTTTTCTGTTGGAATGTTTTCATACACCTGCTATTTTAATAAGTATCTATGATGAAATGTCATCTTGAATGGTTTTACTAGGGAAATGACGGCTATTAAGTCAACTTACTGTTTTAATACCAAAAGGAGTCTGAAGGCATTCGTAAGTAGTCCTGCCAAATTCTGTCCACGTCTGTCTGCAGAAGTCAGGAAGCTGAGGGGACAGCTCTGCTGCATGTGGGCTTATATCATACGATAAATAGTAGGTGCTGATTTCATGTGAAATAAAAGTCTCAGACAAGATCTCCCGAATCGAAAATTGGGAACCCTGAAGATATCCATGTCTTCTGAACCAAAGGAAATGGAGTTGAACGTGCTGTAAGTTTTGTTTCATTTTACTCTCTACTGGCAATATTTGGGCTGAGAGGAACTGGATGAGGACTGACAGTGCTTAATTGTTCAACTATTTTTACAGGGATAGTTTGTGAGATACCTTCCACTTCATTTTCATTCTTCGTCTCCAAACCTCCAAACAAAAGACTCCTTCCCACCAAAGCATGACAGATATTTGGCAAATGCGCAAGGAGCTGGGCTGTTCCTCATTTCTCATGTCCAAGTTCCTCTGGCTGTAGCCTGAGACCCTGGCAGCGGGCTGACAGAGTAGCCGGAAATGGTTGGTAACAGTGGTGACAACTACATCTGAACTTTCTCACTTCTTCCATGCCACCAACATAACACTGAAATGCTGAAGCCACCCAGCCTGGTTGTTTCTCTTCCTTTCACAGTGTTTTCCTAAAGAAGAAAACCGTTGTTTTTTTTCTCCAAGCCTAATATTTTGAGGTTGAAGTTCATGCCAGTTTTGGGAAGCAAATTTTGTGGGCTCTGCGTTTCTCGGCCCATTGAGGCTGCCCTCCATCGCTGGCAGAGGTAAGCTGAGGGAGGAGGAGGAAAAGTGAAGCATCATGCCTGTTTTTTCATCATGTCATCATGTCTTACCTAGATGCTTTGGTTGTGGAATAACGTGGTACCGAAGTGGTGTGTGCTACCTGCAGCGTGGGGTCAGACCCATCACAGACAACTTACGAAATGTCTCATTCAGGTAGTCCCAGCAAAAGAAATCATAAAAAAACCAGCAACTTTGATATGCTCATTTTATGCATCATTACCTGCTGTTGCTTTGCAGAACTGTTGTGCTGTTGGAGCGCTGGGAATGCTCTGGCATACCAAGAGCTTTTTTTCCTTCTTAATTCTTCATAATATTTGAGAGGAAGAAAACTGCAGTTGAGGTAGAAGAGGACCTCATTTCTCCTTGAATATCGGCATGCTCTACGGGTGAAGTGACGGTGGTGGCACTAAAACTGTGCCCTTGCTGACTGTACCTTCCAGCAGGTAACACAACCACACTGTCACCAAAGCAGGCGGTGCCAGCGCAAGTGTGAGTCCTCGCCAGGTGCCCGGTGCTGCGGAGAGAGAGAGAACCAGCTCCGGCACTGCGGTGGGCAGAGGAGCTGGAGGCAGCCGTACTCCGTCCTCAGCTGCGCAGCAAAGCGCGCTGTGTGCAGGGCTGTCCGTCACCCGGCCTTTTCCGATGGATGTTTTCTTTCGGCCGAGTCCAACAGCAGGTGGGAGGCAGGGCACCCGAGGGGAGACCTGTACAGCAAATACGCTGCTCTTCTTGAAGCACACGGACAAAGAGATGCACCAGAGACCAGTCCAAACTTTAGTCTTATTTGCCCCACAGCAGAGCAATAGCAATAGTAGATTAAAAAAAAAAAAGATTGAGTCTCAGCATCCAGCCTACTCAGTGATGCCCCCAGACAACTGCTCTTATGCTTGGCCTGTTTGCTCCGTCAGATGGCCCAGCCCAGCCTCAGGAGCAACACGCTGCTTCTTGTTCTGATGGCACTGCTGAAGGTCACCG